CTGAGACTCAGAAGAACCAAACAGTCACAAGAGGTAGGATACACGACAGGTGGGTGAAAGAAAATGCAAATAATATTTAAGTTTGTCTTTGTCTTTGATTCAAGACAAATGTTTGTTTGGCTTTACGTTGACTTCACCGTGGCTGAACCAACACTCAACATGGTCTGGCTTCAGTCTTCATGCTGTCTCTGCTAATCAAGGTGGGTACCAGAGCTGTGGTTAAATGTAAACGCAGCTGCTTCTGACTGAGGAGAAATGGTTAGTGTCAGAGGAGAACCAGGAACTGGAATCCTCACAAAAACAGTGTTTTCTTCATTTGTAAAGACAAAGGGGATTCTTGTTTGGGTTCGGTTTGACTCACAGAAACGGAGGTTATGATAAAAGCCAACCATGAAGGTACTTCTCCTTAAAGTGCACAAATGCAGAAACAGCCAGAATAAAAACAACACAATTAAGCAGGACCCGATAATCAGCTGTAATGCATGTAGAGTACACATCACCAACATTTACCTACCGAGTCAACTTGGCTTCTAGACCCTCCACATGGTCACAGTTTAGACCTGAGAGTTCCTTCTGAACTGGATTTTATAGTATGGAAACAATTTTTCTTGTTAATGCAACTAAAAAAAGAGTGTTTTCTCCTCGTTCAACACTAATGTTTTAGTTTCTGTCAGTTTTCTTGTTTTCTGTATATTTTGGTAAATGTCTGTTATGATTTGGGCCTTATTTGTGTTTTCTAGGTGTATTTTTGCTCGTCCTTATGTTCCCTGGTTTGGATTTTTATCAGGTTTATTTTCTGCTCCCTACTCCCTTCAAAAATTTATAATTTCTAATCATCACACCTGTGGTGTTATTTGTTATCTTTTCTCTTAATATTTAGCTTGTAGTATTAAAATGTCTTTGTTCAGATCCTTATGAGTCCTTTGCTCATTCTTTCCTTGAACTGCCCTCTGCCATGAAATGTGGGTGATCAATCATGCACTTGTGCTTGTACATTAGCAAAATATCTCATGGACCAGTGGATGGATTGTATTAAAATCTTAGAAAGTCATTGTTGGATGCTCACCTACAACTTATTACATGGTTACAACTTGTTGAAAAGGGCTGCCACAGCTAATTAAGTTTTATCCAGTCAGTTTTACAGACATTGAGCTAATAGGTGCGGTAGTAGCTGAGACTAATCACCAACACTTTGAGCACAAACAGATTGCAGGGCATCTTTGTTCAAAACCTGAGCTGCAAAGTTGGTGACACACATTCCTCAAAGTAATGCTCCTTTCAGTTATATATATTAAAAGAAGAGTTGGTAAGTTGACCACCTGGCCTAAAACATTTGATTGTTATATATGATGATTGTTTTAGATGGGTGTGCTCTGTTTGCACGTTAAAAGCCTTCTTTTGTGATTCCTTCAGGAGGTTAGCTTGAAACAAAGCAGTGAAGGCTACCTATGGGACAGGTTGGCAGGCTGTAGACTGAGGAAGTCCTCTGGATGGGGGGCGAAACGTTTCTCACTTAAAGAAACTGGTCCAGCTGATATGATTGAACCTTTTTTGTTCCTTTCAATTATGTTTTTCAAACCGTTTATGTTTCCGTTTAGCTTGATGTAGTAAAAACCATTCCAGCCGCCTGCTGCCTCCTTGTCCTTCATTTGTGTCCTTTCAACAACACGACACCTTTTATTCCATCGGCCTTTTTTCTTCTGAAAGTAGAAAGAAAATAGACAAACCTCTGAGTAATAGAAAATAATAGTGTTTGTTTTGTCATCTGGTGACAAAAACTGAACTTTTGACAAATTTCATGAAAAACTCTGGTATAGCATACATTTGAACACACGTCCCTGCTTTGTTCTCCCCCTGACATGCCGTTACCTCTTCCTCTCACTCTGTACCTCGAATCATCCCTTAGCATCAAAACATTTCTCAAAGGGAGCCATGTTAATAACTGTGCTGTACTCAAGTGAGAAAATGTGCATCTAGGATGTGTGTGAGAGAGAGTGGGGGGCGCAGCGTTTATTTGCATGTGACAAACAGAGGGAGAGAAAAGATGCAAGCAGCCGAGCTTTAGTTAGTGTTGCCCGTCATCACGGATCTCCATGGAGACGCATTCTGTCTGCCATCTACACCTTTGGTACATAATCATGGAGGCAGGAGAGAGCAGGAGGCGCATGTGCTGCTGTTCCACCGCTCCGAGCAGGCACAATGTGGGGTCGGCTGGCTGAGCTATAAATAGCTGTACAGTAGTTAACGCAGCGGCGGTGCTGCACGGCCGGAGACTCTTTAGCTGATTTAGTAAAAATAAACAGCAATGACATCGGCTAATCTTTAACACTGGGGAGGAAATGGGTTTTATTTGAATTTATGCAAAGGAAGACATGCCTTCATGATATAACATCACACCTTCTCTCACACATCGGACAGTTTGGGTTTTATTCTGTCTCTATTAACTAGACAACCTTTAAGGTCAAATATTATTCTGTGTGCTTGTCTGGCAACATAAGGCTGGGGAACAAAAGCAGCTTCAAAAGGCAAATTATCAAAACAATAATCTTCAATCCACAAAAGTTAAGTCAGGTCTTCTGGATGGTTTATTTTTTTGTTGAAACATTTTGTTCTTCATCCAAAGGACTTCATCAGTCCAAGGAGCCACAACAAACTGAGTCCCACTAGCAGCACACCCACATAGTGGACCATCCAGTTTGCTGGTAATAAGATGGTTTCTGGGGCCTTCCCTCTCCCCCGTCGACCCCTCTGAGGCCGCCATAGCCAAAGTGGTTCAAAACATCAAAGTTCATGCTCAATAATCCAGGTAAAAAATCCAACAAAATTGTCAGGTCCTCTGGACGGTTTCTTTTTTTTTTTTTTTTTACATTTTGTCCTTCATCCAAAGGACTTCGTCAGTCTGAGGAACCACAACAAACTCCGTCCCATAGGTGGCTTACTCACATAGTAGGCCAACCAGTTTTATGGTGATAAAATACAACTATGGCTGCCTCAGAGGAGTCGACGGAGGAGAGGGCGGACTCCAGAAACCATCTTATCACCATAAAACTGGCTGGCCCACTATGTGAGTAAGCCACTTATGGGACTGAACTTGTTGTGGCACCACAGACTGATGAAGTCCTTTGGATGAAGGACGAAACGTTTCAACAAAAAAAGAAACCGTCCAGAGGACCCGACTTAACTTTGTTGGATTTTTTTACCTGGATTATTGAGCATGAACTTTAAATAATCTTCATTGTTGGTTTACAGCTACTGACTTGCGACCTGTCCAGGGTGACCCCGCCTCTTGCACTGCTGGATATGGGCACCTGTGACCCCCGTGACCCGAAAAGTAAGAAGTGGGTAAAGATAACGGATGAATGGAGTTTTTAAGCTATCAAAAATACATTTTATTCTTGGCCCCATTTGAAGTAGTCGTTAGCTCTCCAATTTCTCTAAAATGAGTTAAATCAAATGCTATCTACAACAGGTAAGATAATAATGGTTCATAAACGTTCAACAGAACACCACTTCAAAATCTCTGAATTGATGCTTTAAAGAGTTTAATGATCTACATTATTGTCCTGTGCTACATTCTTCACACTGTTTTTATACACAAAAACAGACATTAGTTTAGTGTAGAAACAGTGTACAGACAATAACATGAACGTCCCTTTTGTTTATTACACATAAGGCCACTATGGTAGGACATGAGGAGAATATGTCACAGGTAAAGAAACAGTAATCCCGCCTCTTCGGGTGTTTTTACAAGTTCATCTCAAACAGTATAGCAACAAGAAACAAAATAAATTACATTACTGCAGACATTTATACATCAATCTTCACCAAGTAGAACTGATGGCTTTGTAGTGGATGTATTTTTTACCAACATGTACTGAAAATCTACCTGTAATCTAATAAGAGTCTGCTTTTTGGTCCAATATCAACCACTAATGATGCATCAGCTGTGCAGAGCGGATCTAATAGCCAGACAACGCTGCACAACAGCCTTTTGTTAAACTCGTCTATTGTTCAAGCATTTACAAACATTTTGGTTGAGCAGCATTCATTTTGTGTATAATAAAAAAAGGCACAGAAAAATCTGATCAGCAGAGTCCATACATCTATAGACAAAAATCTGCTTAAAAATATAATCAAATAAATAATATCATCAGTCATAGATAGTATCATGAATAAAACTTAGCTTTAAACAAAGTTAGGATTGGGATCCTTGTTCAGACCCAGATTATGTGCATCATCAGGACATCATATATTGTTTCTCTTTCGGCTGCTCCCTTCTGCAGTTGTTTTACGCTGGATGCTCTTCCTGGTGCAACCTGTGCTCAAACCTGCAGCCTCAGGATTTGCGAGACCGCAGCACTGACCACCGAGCTACCACAGCCCCCACTCTGACCCTTTTAAAATAAAAAAATGTGTGACATCACATCTTCAAATCTGCCTGCTTCTAAAATATTGACCAACAGAATCAAAGTTTTTCTGACTGGGTGCATTTTTAAATGGCAGTTTTTATGTTAAATTAATGTCAAATATCTGTTCATTAACGTTTATGTTTGTGCAATGAATAAGATATAATGGCTTTACAACAATTTGTAACTCGGACACATAAAACATCTCTAATTCAAAATAGTGACAATAGCAAGAAATTACAATAATTTCTTCCAACCTTGAAGTAAAAATTGTCATGTAGAAGCTCACTGTACACAACAAAATGGCAACTGAGAAAAATGAATTTTGTGTCCACTGAATGACAAACATTTGAGTTTCCACCAGAGTTTTACTAGAACATTGTACAATGCTGGATCATGCATACATGCTAAATGTATAAAACACATGTGCCTTATGGAAAAGTGTACATCTCTACTGTAGAACATCATGTTCCACAGATTAAACAAAACATGAAGTAAAATAATTCATCCTGAATTACAAGAATTCTGCAGTTTGTTGGCAAACGCCACAGCAGACTTCATATCTTTCCACCTTCTCAAAGCAAATCTTCATCATCAGGTAAGGGTGGTGACCTCCGGCGGAGAAAAGTTTCCAGAGGTGCTGAGGATGTCTTTACAACTTTCTGTTAGGAAACACAAAGGTTCTTTATTAAAGCACTTTTCAGGGACAAACAACTGTGTGCAACATTAATTGCTTCCTCAACTGTTCTGGCATTCATTCAGTCAGTAAATCATCTCATTGTGTTCATGATCTGTGGCATAGAAACCTGGCCAGGGTGTCCCCGCCTCTCACACAGTGATTCAATTCAGTTTATTTGTCTAGCGCCAATTCACAACAAAGTTGTCTCAGGGCACGATACAGAGACATTCACATATACATCGAAAAGCCAATCAGTAAAATTCTCTATCTAAGGAAGTGACAGTGATGGCTGGATAAGGGCACCAGTGAGTGACCTGAAAAGGAAGAAGCGGGTAAAGATATTAGATGGATGGTATTTACTCTGTAGTACGTTCCATCCATCCATCCACCCATCCATCCATCCATCCATTATCTTCCACTTGTTCCAAAGTCAGGTCGCGGGGGCAGCAGCTTGAGCAGGGAGGCCCAGACATCTTTTTCCACAGCCACCTCTTCTGGGAGGATCCTATGGTGTTCCCAGACCAACTGAGAGTCATAGTCTCTCCAACGTGTCCTGGGTCTTTCCCAGGGTCTCCTCCCAGTCGGACATGCCCAAAGCACCTCCTGAGGGAGGAGTCCAGGGGTCATCCTTACCATATGCCCGAACCACCTCAACTGGCTCCTCTCAATGTGGAGGAGCAGGTTCTACTCTGAGTCTCTCCCAGATAACTGAACTTCTTACCCTATCTCTAAAGGAGAGTCCAGCTACCCTGCGGAGGAAACTCATTTCAACCGCCTGTATCCACAATCTCATTCTTTCGATCACTACCCAGAGTTCGTGACCATAGGTGAGGGTAGGACGACTGACCGGTAAACAGAGAGCTTTACCTTACAGCTCAGCTCCCTCTTCTCCACAATGGACCGGCACAGAGTCCATAATACTGTCGATGCTGCACCAATCCATCTGTCAATCTCACGCTCCGTTCTTCCCTCACTCATGAACAAAACCCTGAGACTTGAACTCCTCCACTTGAAGCAGAATCTCACCCTCGACCTGACGAAAGCAACCCACCCTTTTCCAACTGAAGAAAGTAAGATGTAAGACTGTAGTAAGCTGATTTCACATTTACACTGAAAGTTTTTTTTTTTAAATAATGTTTGTAAAGAAGGCCAATTTATACTGACCATCAATAACAAAAATAAAACCAAAGGGGGTGAATATTTTTACAGGAACTATACATATTTAAATACAAGGCAAGGCCAGACTGAGATGGTTTGGACACGTCCAGAGGACGAACAGTGAGAATATTAGTAAAAGGATGTTAGAATTGCAGCTGCCAGGAAAAAGAGCAAGAGGCGATATATATGTATATATGGATGCAGTTAAAGATAACATGGAGGTAGATGGAGTGAGGACAGAGTGAGATGGAGGAGGATGACTCGCTGTGGTGACCCCCAAAGAGGGAAAAGCTGAAAGAAGAAGAAAGTTTCTTTTGGCTGCTCCTTTCCAGGGGTTGCCACTGCAAGCAAACTTGAATGAAAGATTTGGCGAATGTTTTAGGCTGGACGCCCTTCCTGACACAACTTGGGCTTGAACCTGCAACCTCAGGATTACAAGACCACAGCACTGACCACCGAGCTACTGCAGTCTCACTAAGAAGAAGAATATGTATTTAAATACAACGTCATACTCTGTGTTGATGTGATGGTCATGTGTGGCCAAACACGTTATCATATAGTCGAGACCTCAAGATGTTGCAGAAAAACTTTAAACTGCTCATTCAGACCTGAGATGTGCTGTCTGCTTAATGAACAACATTTCATATCTGAAAAGCTGAATTAGCACTTCAGTCCCCAGTGAGCACCTTGCATGGCAGCTAAAGTGTGTGAGGCTGCAATTCATCACCACTCCAATCATTAGCATGCTGTGAAGTGTAAGCAACAAATGCTTCATATATGACTAAAAATTACTGAACAATCAACAGATAATTGCACTCTTGCTCACAGGCAACATCCGTCAGATCTAGATTTCTGAAATTAACAGAAATGTTTGATGTTTTCTGCAGCTGATGAAATCTATCAGTGAATAAAATAAAAATCAATCATCCAATTTATCCAGAAGAGTCTCTGAGGAATATGGAGACTCTCCAGCTCATCGGAAGCAGTTTTTACACATGCGTTTGCTGTCGCCACACCACGATGCACTTTTAGCACAATATGCTTACAGTTTGGTAAAGTGTTTGTTTTTTTCTTTGGATAAATAGCAGTTCTGAGTGTCAGACTGAATCCATGTGATGACTTTAATCACCAGAACATTTTCTTTCTGTCGCTCTGCGCATCCATTTCCCGTCACTTACAACCATCCGAGGGAATCTTTAGGCCTCCATCCATCAGTCTTTTGACTCCGTTCTTCATCAGAATGCCTTTTAACTCCAGAATTAGCCGGCATTTCAGTTCCCTGTAGGCCCAGCTCTTAAGAGCAGAGCCAGTGAGTCATTTTCTTTTTACATTTATCATCACAAAACAGCTGCAAAATGAGAGGCTGCCTTTTGTTTGAAATAAAAAAAAGAAGTATTTGAATTCTGAATTCTGCCAAATCAAAATGCTGAAAGTCCACTTTAACCTTTTTTTTTTTGTAATAATGTGGACTCAAATGTGTTGTGTGTGTGATATTTTCCTATAATTTAATAAAATGCTGTTATTCAGAGGATCACCAGATACATGGCACGAATTTAATTAACCTCCTCTCCGTCTCTGCCATAGATTAGTTTTGAGGTGTTCTGGTTTTGCTCATTGTTTTGGTCTCTTCTATTAGAATAAAGCTCGTATGACATCAAAACGAGGCGACAAAGCCATCATGAGGTGACATGGAATGGTTTCTGCGAGGCTCCTTCTGAGAGCGTTGAATTTTTTTTTATCTGCATGTCAGAGCGTGCAAAAAAGAGAAAAGTCTGCTTTAATCAACACTCCGGGATTGGTCATCCTTTTAGGAAATACATTCAAGTATAATGTCCATGTAATAGGCTGTTGAAAAAAACGTGGGATTGAAACTCTCCTAGGACCCAGGCTGCAGTAAGTGCCCCATTTATGAGTAGTTTTTTTTTTCCTCTCCAGCAGCAATGTGCTAATGAACTCTTGTACTAAAATGAATCTGGGTGAAGTGCATTTTTTTTACAGAGAAATACCTTCAGTGCTGTTTTTTTGTGGATGAGATTCAGAAAATGACCTGTCCAGGAAGTGTTAGACCTGTGCTAAGGTTGTTGGGAACAAAACCTGGGCTGATTCCTCTCTGTGGTGAAATCCATGCATCCTAAAAATTCCTTCTCTTGGTGCTTTTGTTTAAACATCCATCCATCGTATAAGAGATCATCGGTAGTCTTTCAATACGTATCTCAAATAAGCTGCTCTGTCTGTAAATTAATTCATCTTGGACTTGAACGTCTGGTCTTAACTGTCCGCACCTCTTCTTTCAGACACAAAAGCTGTTTTGGTGCTTTGTGTTCGAAATAACTCAAACCTGGCAGCAAAGATGGAAGGCCTTTCCGCTCAGCACACAGACAGATAAATGAAGCAATTAGTGCTACAAAGCTGTTCAATTGATTTTTATTGATTGGAACAATAAAAAATGACCGCCTGTTGTAGGTTGTGATTTTCCAGCACGCATTGGTTCCACAGTTGTTTGTAATGGGACAAAATGAGTTTCACCACATTACAGTTGGGTTCAGTGCTTGTTTTTTCAGTTAACGTAGCTTTAAGCTGTATAGGATCTGGTATCGCCAAGAAGGGAAGTTGCAGACGTAAAAGATGAAGGACGTTTGTCTCACTGCTGGTGAGATTTGTAAGGGTTGAAATGCACAACTCTTAAAAGGCTTTAAGATGTTTGGTTTATCTTTTTTTAACACAGTGTGGTGCCATAGAGAGAAATCTGCATTAGCAGTCAAGCTTACCATCACTCAGAACAGGGTCCATTTAAGAGCCAACTTCCTCCATCAAAAGCAACTCAAACCTCAAATTTCTTTAAAGCTTAGCTTGTTGTAACATATACCACAAGCCACATATGTTTTAGTTAAGCATACCCCAATAAAGAGTCTTCCTGATTTTCCAAGACAGCAGTCTGCTGCAGGTAAGATTCTTACTGCTCATAAACACTAAATTCAACCTTTCTTAAATAAGTCCACTTTGATTTTTCTTTTTCTTTTTGGTGTGTGTGAAAACTCCTGCACAGCTTGGTAACACTTGGATTTGAGCCTCAGGAGCAGCTCTGCAAAGCAAGCGCATGTGTTTCAAAAAATTCAATTCAAAACTACTTTATTAATCCCAAAGGGAAATTATTTGTTGTTGTAACTAGTTATCCTCATTTCATTAAGATATGTTATAGATACTGATGGCTGTAGGCAGGAAGGATCTCTTCTAGAGGTCCGTTCCACAGTGGATCCTAAGAAACTGGCTGCAGATGCTGTCTGATCCATCCACCCAGACTCGGCTGGCCTCTCGGTTCCCCCGGGCTGTAGGACCGCCCGAATGCCGGGCAGAACTCCTCCCAGAGGGATGGCCACTCCTCCCAACAGTCTGCTGAGCTCCTCGTCACTGCGGACGGATAACTATAGGTGCCGAGGGAGGATCCGGTCCTTCCGCTGTCATGAGCCATGTCTCCTGCTAGTTCCAGGATCTCCGGGATCAGGCACTCGAGCACAGCTGGCAGGTAGATGAGAATGCCTCCACAGAACATCCTTTCAACTCATTTGAGATTTGGGGCTGTAGCTGAGATATTATTTGAGCTTTTGAGATGTTAATCAGCTGCTGTTGGTTGTAGAAAACTGCCTTGTTGCCATGGTTACGCATCATAACAAATGTTCAAAACCAAAAAAGTCTCAGCAAAAATCCCTCCAGCTGCACAGCATCTGATACCAGAGGAAACAATCATCCAAAAATGTGATTTACACCCAGAAAAAGAGGAATTAAAGTTTCCAAAAGCAATATCTCAAAATGAAAGTAACAGAGCTGCTCCAACATGCAGCCACCTTGAGCAATTCTAGAAGTCCATGCTGATGAGCCGAGATGGGGTAGAGGTAGGGCAGCCGACTCAGGACCCAAAAGTCCCAAGTTCGATCCCCAGCCATTCCAACATATCGTGGTGTCTCTGAACAAGACACTTAATCCCTAATTGCTGCCCGGGTGCTTACATAGCTGCCCCCTGCTCCACCTGTGTGTATCTCATGTGCGATGGGTTAAATGCAAAGAACCAATTTTGCCCGTATGGGAACATACAATGATGACAACACAATTGCACAAAAGCACTTTATTTTACTTATGTGTCTGTAACTCACCAACGTTGATGTTGGGATCTCCAGATGTTAAGAGGAAGCAGGTGGCGTCTTTCTTATTCTTGCCTCGCCCTCGGGAGCACCTAAGGGACCACTTCTCACTGGGGGACAGTGGCTGGGTCAGACTGCAGCCTTCTTCATCTAAAAGGGCCACATTTGCATCCCCATTCTGCTTGGAGTCTGATAGGAAGATGGACACACAGCAGCATAAATGCCAAAGCTTTTACCAAGAATCCCCTGAGGACCCAGACAAAGACAGAGGCACGTTGCATAAAACCAACATTTTTCTGTGATGAAATCCAATTTGACTGAGATGTTCATTCAATCAGAGTTAGGCACAGATCATCTGTCTGACAAACTTTATCTACAAGTCAAAATGTGTTGTGGCTCTTTGTGTTAACATCAGATTGAAGCTGATTCAAATACTTATCATGTAGGTACTTAAGGACCAATAATTCCAACAATGATAAAAGTCAAATTAAATATATATAAGTAAAACTAACTTGAATGATTAATTTCCCCAATTAAATACCAAAATATAATTTTTACTTGATGTCTGTACAAGTGACAATGCTATTTCTGTTTAGTATTTGCATGTTTTTAAAGTTTTCTTCCAATCAAGACAGTGAAAGAACGTGTTTCTGCTCTTTCTTTGAACTGAGCCCTTTACCCCACATTGAGTGTACCTGAGCGATTCCTGACGACACTCTCCTCAGCAGCCAGCGGACACGTGTCGCTCTGAGTGCTGTCTATGTGCGAGTTTGTTTCCGATTTGACAAATGAGGCCGAGTCGGTCGGGGCGTCCGGGTTCTGCGTGTGCTTCTTCTTTTTCTTGGGCAGCTTCTGCTTTGCCATAGCCAGTGAGTAGTACATGCCGAAGTTATTGACGATGACAGGAACGGGCATGGCGATGGTCAGCACACCAGCCAGTGCGCACAGCGCCCCCACCATCATGCCCAGCCATGTTTGTGGATACATGTCCCCATAACCCAGCGTCGTCATGGTGACCACTGCCCACCAGAAGCTGATGGGGATGTTCTTGAAGTGCGTATGGTTGGACAAAGTGGGGTCAGAGGGGTCAGCTCCGATGCGCTCAGCGTAGTAAATCATGGTGGCAAAGATGAGCACTCCGAGGGCCAAGAAGATAATGAGCAGAAGGAACTCGTTGACACTGGCCCTCAGCGTGTGGCCCAGGACACGCAAGCCCACGAAGTGGCGTGTCAGCTTGAAGATCCGAAGGATCCTCACAAACCGCACCACGCGGAGAAACCCAAGCACGTTGCTGGCAGCTTTGGATGTCAAACCGCTCAAGCACATCTCCAGGTAGAACGGCAGAATGGCCACAAAGTCAATGATGTTGAGTGTGTTTTTGATGAAGACCACTTTGTCCGGGCAGCAGACGATGCGCACCAAGAACTCAAAGGTGAACCACACCACACACACGCCTTCCACCATGAACAGGATGGGGTTAGTTACCATCTCACTCCTCTCAACGTCTTGTGTTACGTTGCCAATGGAAACTTGCTCCGTAACATTTTTTAATTCGTTGAAGGCCTCGTGAGTCTCCAGGCAGAAGGTGGTGATTGACACCAGGATGAAGAAGAGAGAGATGAGTGCCACGCCCTGAACAAGACAGATAATGGACATTAATGGTACATTCTCTGGTTTATTTTCTACAAACCATTAATAAAAAGATGTAGACATGCCAATCAACTCTTTAAAGCAGTTTGCTGTCAGGCATCGTCTTTTGGGGAAGGCAGAAGCTGTCAAGTGACTGTCAACAAGCCAAAACTAATACAATGAACACACTGATATAACTTTTACAAAGCACAAAACTGGCTGATCAAAAGTAAAGTTCATTTGTTAATATGTAGGAGATACAAATGTAACAAATAAATGAGAATAAAATGGTGTGGGATAATTTTTTTTATTACACAGACTACATACACATTTTGACATTATATTCCCCTAAAATAGAGCAGGAGATTGTTAATTTAAAGAGTCATTTCCAGGAATTTTGACTTACATTAAATGAATGTCACAGCAAGCAATGTGGAAAATAAGAGATGAAATTGTTCCTCAAAAAGAAAAAAAACAGAAAAGGCATTTTATTGTAGCTTCCATTCCTTTATTTTATACCCTGATGGTTAGTTTTTAACAAAATATCAAATTATACATTTATAGTTTAATTTAATTTCACATTCGGCCAGAGCTTAGAGGTCGGACACCCCAAACAATAGAGTCTAACCACTCTTTGCATCAGTGCAGATAAACAAAAATAAGTGAATAAAATCAAGTGGTGATGTTAAGTACGTTTAAGACGGTGAGAAAAAGCTGAAATATAGCTGGCCCAATTTCAATATTAAAAAAGTCACAAAGAAGCTGAGAAAAAACAAAACCTGGTCCATTTTAGATGGTAAGTACACTTAGAAAGAAAAATTCAAAAACAACAAACATTTACTGAGCATACATTCTTTCTCCTCAGATCAGGCTATTACTGTCTGCTAGGAAGCATTTAAATGTAGTTGTGCATGAATCTTACAGTACGGAAAGTAGTCATTTATTATTATTCTTGTTGTTAATAAAGTGTATCTTTTCGGGCAGCTGTGGCTAAGTGGAGCAGTCGTCCTCCAAAGCAAGAGTTGTGGGTTCAAATCCACCAGCAGTCACATGCCGAAGTGTCCCTGGGCAAGGCACTGAACCCCTCACTTCCTCCGATGTGTGTCCCATCGGTGTATGAATGTGATAAAACACTGATTAATCTCTTTAGAATGATTTGTTTAATTGGTTTTGTATAGATCTAGTAGAGTGCTGTATGGATGGGTAAATGAGGACACAGATTGTGTTGTAAAGCACTTTGAGTGTCTTGATAAGACAGAAAGGTGCTATATAATTACAGCCCATTTATCATTTTTATGCAGACTGAGCACATTCCTGGAAAATAAATTAAAAAATGCAAATAACTTGTTTTCTTCAAGAAAAACACTGAAACTTGCAGTGAGAAGACAGGACTCAGCTAAAGGTCTAGCATTCTTTAAAGAAACGCGTACACATCATCTTTCATGATAGAGTTTTAGACTAAGATCATTTATTCATTCAACCTTTATTTAGACAGGTAAATCCCATTTATGTTGAGAATGGGTGCCGTTATAGCTTTTTTAGTCAGCTTTTAGTCAAATCTTAAAAGTCGCCTTATGTCAATGCTATTATCTCACATTAATGGAAGATCACATGCAAGCTGTTGGCATTCAAAGCATGTGCAGCTGATGTTTCTCAGCTACTACCATGTTCATTTTTACTTAATGTCTGTAAAAATGACATATTGTTTAGCCATTTGTGAGGGAGCTAATGCCAGTTAGCTGTAGCAGCCAGCTAAAAACACTTTGGCTTCTAAAGATAATTTGTTGTACATGTACATCCAAAGAACATTTTGTGAAACCTATAAAGTGGTTCATATAATGATATTTTGCTAATTGTCAGAGCTGACTCCAAAGTTTTAAGAAAAGACCTTGCACATAGTGTAACACTCAGAGTATGCGTTGTAAATAACTTGCAGACACATTTTAATTCAATATCTGTAAAGATGAAAAGAAAAGGGACAAGACAAGAGAGGAAAAAATGTTTTTTGATCAAATGTTTAGGTTCAAGTGGTCCAGACATTTAAATGTGTTACATAATAACACAATGTTTGTTTTGTTCAGAGATGTTTGAATAAATCTTTAACAATCTCTCAATCTAATGGCTGAGTGCCAACCCGAACATAGTGGTTATAGAATCCACCACAATAGCAGCATGTCTGTGTTTGGACTAATGTGTTTACCCCGAAATGATCTTTATTCTTTGTTACCTGAAGCCTGGGCTCAGTGTAAAATGCCATTCCAACCATTATTTTCCAGCTGGATAAATAATGTCCCTGTAGCTGCTGTGCACTTGGTCTTTGTCGTCTGGCACACATAATTCAGCTGTATTTTGGAGTTTGTGCTTTAAAAACAGGTATTTGCGTAAACGAGATGAGTAATAACCGTCTGTGAACTGGGATAATAGGAACATGTTGTTTGAAGTTCACGTTCAAAACATCATTGTGTCTCTGTAGTTGGGGACAATGTGCAGCTATCAACCATGACAACCCTCAAAACCTTTGGGAAAATTAAAAACTTGGCTGCGAGACAAGAGGGAAAGCCCTGACTAAACTGTCCTGGGAGGAGCTCACAGGGGACAATATAACAAGATGAACATAAACAGAACATCAGTAGGTGGATTACACATTAATTTACCATATTTGGCAGAATGAGAACATAGACTAATAAGTATTTTTAACTCCTAATATCAACAAAATCTAAATTCACAATCTTCTTAAATCTCCTAAATTTTCGCTCCATGTACACTCGCTCGTTCTTCGTGTCTCCGTTGAGCTTATGCTGTATGCGCTCATCAGCCAAAATGGATAAAAAGGTTTGCACCTCATCATTGGTCCATAGAATTACATGGGATTTGCAGGCTGCTTGGAAAAGTACGCTCTGCAACCATCAAACTGAAAATGGCACTTCAGCAGGAGTTTGCAAGTACAGCCTTGGCTCATCCGGTGATGTCAATCCACGGGGCCAAACTATGGCTGCAGTTTGATGATGTCAAAATCTCTTGCTCAGCTTGGCTCACTTGGAACCATGGCTGAGACAGTTCCAAAAACTGAACAGGTACAGGTTATGGAGAAGGCTGATGCTAAGTCAATGCAAATTGACTAAAGCCACTCCTGGGGAGAAGGGGCTTAAATGTCTCATGCAGAATCCTGAATTAAATATTTCAAGTACTGATTTACAAGTGGTTTTCTCCACCAACCAGTTAAGTCCAGAACCTAATAATCCTGGCCACTACCTCCCACCGATTTACCATTCCCCCTCATCTATGTTTCATTATTTAAGCTTCTTTTACCTCCTTCCATACCTTTTTATTGAAGTGATCAGCTCACCTGACACAACATCACAACAACCAGCAGCATCAGCATCACACCGAGCCTTTGCCCAACGTCAAATCCATCACTGATTTCCTCCTCCAACATGTACCTCCTTCCTCACATCCATCTGCAAACATCCAGTAGTTTCTGACATCACAAAATCCTCAATCACCCATTGTTTGGGGAATCCAGTAAAACAGAAATGGACAGTCTATCATGATCGGCTCCGTGTGTGGGACCCAAAATGCAGGAAGACGAATGAAGCTCCAGTAAATAAGTAAAATAGTTTATTAATTAAATAAACAAAACAAAATGCTGTCGGGGCAGCAAACTTACTTAAGGAGGACACACAGGAGAGACAGGTCATGAAGCCTTAGGACAAGGACAATCCAGAGACACTGACAAGACACCAAGAGGCTGAATATATACAGACACAAACAAGGTGAAATGAGTGACACCTGCGGTGATTAGAATTAGACACAGGTGCAACAGTGCTGGAACACAGGAGGAGAAAAGCTGAGGGGTGACAGGCAAACATGAGGGAAAACACAACATGTAAGACAAGACCCCAGAAACCCTACACAGTCCACATTTTCTAAGAGGCTATGTCAGAATGGCAAAATATGTAATAGAGATACAAAGATTAATAGAGATACAAAGATTGTGCAACTTCAAATATGAATGTCAGAGCAAAAATATCTAGACAAAAGCATTTTAGCCATAGAAGAATTAAAATGATTGATCTAAAGGTGGACTCTCTTAGCTGCAGCTGTTGGGAGACTAGTTAGTCATAGAATATTTTGAGAAAATATGTGAATTTCCAGCTGCATTCTCACTGAGTTGTGGGTGTTTGTGGTCCAGTGCCCACTGAGCCATATGGTAAAGTTCTGAATAGCCAGTTTTTGAAAAGCCAAGACTATTTTTGTATACATGTCTTGCTTTGCATTTAGCCCATCACATGTGACATACACCCAGGTATATA